CTGCGGAGTGGGGCTTCCCAAGCGTCTGACGTCCATGGACCTTTTGTGTTGTTTTTTTTTAAATCGCTTCTATTTGTTCTACATGTTTTTGGAAATGAACCAACCCCTCCCCCAAACCCCCAGTGTTCAACAGCCCTGTAAAATACTGGCCTTGGACCACATCCTGGGGGTTGGGAACAACAACAGCAACAACACAATAATAATAATAATCATAATAAAAATAATAATAACAACATCTAAAATAAAAACTAAAAATTACATGACATCATGCGATTCTACCAGGTTATGTGATTTACATGTGAAAATGTAAAGTTTTAAAATGCAAACAACTGCAGCCTAATTCCCATTAAATCCTTGTCGTCATTTTCACTGGAACATGTTTAACTCACCTGCTGAGGAACCCAAAATCAATGCAGTCTTCATAAAAAAAATTAAAAATGGTGACTACCATCTCCTTGGGCTTGACCACAGTGAGAGGAAGAGCATAAGAACAGAAGTGGAGTATGTTTCAATTCCCCTCTACTGTGAGATGTGGCCCCCCACTGGCTGACAGGGAAAGGCTCCCAGTGGCTTTACGACAGAACCAACATATTCAATTTGCAGTTCTAGTGCTTGCTGTGAACTCCAAGGTGGTGCATCTCTATTCTCTATGCTCACCACTGCCTCTGATCGATTCAGCCACCAACCAAACACTGCTACTTGTTAACGCTGCTTCATACGATTATACAGTTAGTGGCATTAATAAAAACGTGCCTGGGAAATTATGCAGTAAATCAATCAAGTATCAAGTAAATCAAGTATTACAGGCATACATTTTGCATGATACAGTGGCAGAAAGTCCTTTGACAGGAAGGGAGTAGCACTGCATCAGAAGCACAAAAGATGTTTGATGAATTTCGGGGCAAAAAAGAAAAAACTGCTCTACTTAAAGGCGCCCGACGGTGTGACCTTGTTCAGGGTGACAAACCGAAGCAAGATTGGCCTTCTTTTTACAGAAGAAAGCAGACAGTAACAAACACAAATATTTGGGTGTTAAACACGCTTTTATCCACGGTGAATACGCCCACTGCCTGCTGACTCTGCAGTATGACTCTACACAAAGCAGTTCTGAGTGTGCTGTAGTACACGTATTCATAACTCTGCACTACCAAGGAATCTCCTGGAGCAGAACACTGAACTACAAGCAGATCGCTTTCATCAGCCCCCTACCCACCGTGCTTTTAATCTGCTTACTCCAAATCAGTGGGGAAGTGCTCTCCAAGTTTCACTGGGAAAAAGGAGGCATATATCTCTACTACACATAAACAGATGGTGTATTGCCAAGGTCTGATCACCTTCCGTAATGGAGCGAGGGCTTTGGGGCTGTGGAGGGACCTAGAAATCAAGTTGCTGTTCCTTTGGACCCAGCTGAGGCGGTTTGGGTTCCCTGGGGGGGGGGGGGGGGGGAGGTTCCAGGCATGTCCCACCGGGAGGAGGAGCCAGGAAAGGGATCTCTCAGATGGCTTTGGCACGTACAGGAATCCCCCATAGGAGAGCTTTGGTCTGACCTGTTTGATATGAGATATTTATTACACATGTGCTAATTACAGGCAGCCCCCAGATTAACCAGGGGATCCATTTCCTAAGTCTGTCTGTAAGTCAAATTTGTAGGTAAGTCGGAAAAATAATAAAGTACATACTGCTACTAAAAATAGTAATATCCATCCATCCATCTTCTGTAACTGCTATTCACCGGGGGTCTGGAGCCAGGATGGGGCACCAACCCCAACGCAGGGGGCACACACACCAACGCAGGGCACACACACACCAACGCAGGGGGCACACACACCAACGCAGGGCACACACACACCAACGCAGGGGGCACACACACCAACGCAGGG